ATATTTAGGTTTATAAACAAAAAATCAATAAACATTTTCATACGTTAATTAATTATATTTCACGCTTATTATTTTTACTTATTACTTTCATACTTAAAAGAGAGATAACTTATCATATTCAGTTAGGACAAAATTTGGGATGAAGAGTTAAAATTTGAGACTGTGTTTCTCTTAATTTGGGGTGATTGGTTACCTTAGTTTACATCCGACTCCTTTCAGTACGATTTGATCATACATACAAAATATATTAAAAAAAAAAATCTTATCTATAATGTAAGATAAAACGTGCGATATTATGTGAAATAAATATAGAATCATAAATTTTCGAAGGCTTAATTATTTATCCCGCAAACAATGTTTTTTTAGACAGTAAGATAAAAATTATTATATTATTTTTTTTTTAAAGTTAATATATGTAGTATAGTTAAGACATAATTCAGGAAGACAGAGATCTCACAAGGATATAAAATATAAATTAATTATTCTCTTTTTAAATTTTTTCGAACTTACAAAGCTTCATCATGATAACAATCACCTAGGCTTGATTATTATTACCAGACTTCTTTATCGATGTATGATCTCGATTCATGATTTTTGCGTAATTTTACTAGCGTCTTTTCGTTATGAAAAAAAGTGATTATCCATATAACGTTTGTACATACACAAAAAGAACGGTTTTGTTGAAGTATTTAAAATTTTAGCTAAAGATACAAATATGAAAATATAATTTTACTGGATCATCAAAATAATTATTTAGGACGCTCAAATCTGAAAATCTCAAAGATAAACACATGATGTATAGAAGTATAAATATATCTTATTTTTCGATACTTTTACGGTTTTCTCGTGAATTCGCTTTCCGACCGCAATAAACATACCTACAAAGTATTTTAAAGTGTCGCGTGCGCTAAAGAAAAAAGTCGTGAAATTTCGCGAAAACGCAAGGTGCATCGCCGAGCTGGCCGAGCATCAGGGACGCGGACGGGAAGGGAAGTTTCGCGGTATCATGAGCTGTGCACTCTTCAAAAAGTACGGAACGAACGAGCGAAGAAGCGATCCATTAGGTAGGAAGCCCCGGCTGACACGCCCTGACGCTATCAAAACACGCCTTAAAACTTATATTCCAGCGCCGGCGCGACGGTGGTAGTAGGAAAGCCGCGTACGTGAGATAAAATAACAGAGTGTAGTTAACAGGCTTGGGTAAAAATATTCACGCTAGCTTCCATATCTCCCTCTCGCGCGCTCGCCCTCTCTCCCTCCTTCCCATCCTCTCTCACCCTTTTTCCCGTTCTTCTCTCTCTCTCTCTCTCAATTTTATCCACGTCTACGTTCCTCTCTCTTTCTTTCTCTCTTTACCGTTCTTGCTTATTCCTGCGCGTTTTTCAGTCACATATTTCGAAATTTCGCGAAACGATATGTATGGTATCATTCGCATCGATTAATCGGAACGTTCGTAAAAACAGCGGCCGCCCAGCAAGTGATTTTAATTAATTTCCCAACGATGCCGATCAGTCGCGAGAAAAATTGTTTGGATTTATGCAAATTATTCTGGAAATATCGGGCTAAATCTGCATGATAAAACGTGTCCAAGGATCACGTTCCTCCGCTGACCAGGTCATTCACGATTCGAGTTCGTATGCAAAGTTGACTAGATTCCGTCTTCCACATTTAATTACTGAAAGCATCTCTGATGAAAAAAAGTCTTTTGCAATAGTTCAAGAAACGAAGATTAAGTATTGGTCATGAATCAAGAGACCGAGTTATATTTACTTATTTATAACTGCATTACGTTACATTTTCCGCACTTAAAATGAAATAGATGTACAATTAGATATGGAGAGAAAAGAAGAGATGAAAAATGTAAAAAATTCAGAACGAACTAGAATCTAATTGTAAGATAAACTCGACATTCGACAACTGAACTCGGGTTTAGCTTCAACGTAAGAAACAGACATGTTTTTCAGACTAATGCCCATTTCCACCAATATAGATTAACTTTAATCTCGGTTCAACTTACTCTTCGTCTTTTTCTAATCTTTAGAACTAGAAAAAGACAAAGAGTAAGTTGAACCGAGATTAAAGATGATCTGCGTTGGTGGAAACGGACCTGATAGGCCTGTTCTACAATAGAGTCGTAAGCCGTAAAAAACTAATCAATCACATAGTCGATTATTCTTCTCACACTTAATTGTGACTGGCCAATTTCTTACGTTTTACGACTTGCGACTCTATTGTAGAACAAGCAATAATCCAGACAGCACAAAATACTAAAAAATAATGAAAAGAGATCTTTTTTAAGTTGGTTTTTCTACAAAGCGAAAAGATGTCTAAAAGATGACGAAAAGATATCGTTTTTAGATTGTCTTTTCAGCAAGATGAAAAGATGTCTACAAGACATCTTTTAGTTTTACCAAAACGATATCTTTATAACAATTTAGTCATCTTTTAGACGACTTTGTGCTCTCTGGAAATAAATATAATATGTACAATATGATGTAATTACCGAATGCGAGGATCTCCAACCTTGTTCGAACAGGTTGACTTCCGTGTTCACAATAAATTACATGCTCGAGAGTTCGAGAGCTCGGTGTAGCTCGGTGTCAAATTAGACTTGTGTCGCCATCTCTCGCATAACACATCAACATAGATTTACCGGTAAATTATCATGTGGCTAAATCGATTATCACCAGTCTCCAAATTATAATTGAGAACACATATATCGACAGTCGATCGTTCTCAAAAATACCGAAATACGGTAAATATTCGATATGTATACGTTTCCAATGCGTTAAAAATTAATGAAAAAGTAATATAATAAGGCAATATTTAATAAAATTATGTATAACGTAATTATATATTAATAATATAAATGTATATAAAAAAATTATTTAACACATTATTCAATAATATATTACAATTATATATTATAATTATAATATATTTTAACTATTATATAATAATTTTTTATGTAAAATTTGCCAAAACTGCTGAATAACTTTTCGTTTTCTAAGCTTTCTTGCAGACAACATGTACTGTGTACATACATACAAGGAGTTTAAAAATATAAGATGATAAAGTTTATAAGACATTAATCTATATCATAAAAGATGTAAGAGTTTTTTTACAATAAATTAATAAATGGAATGTTTCGACTTTACTTAACCATACTCAGTCGTTTATACAATAAGAGTGGTTGTATGAAATTAAAAAGTTATTAACAAATTATTAAAAATAAAATTAAATATTGGAAGAACATAGAAAACTAGTCAACGAAGCCATATCAAAGGTTGGAAAATATACTACATTAATAAATTATTAAATCTTTTTTACGTAAGAATTGTCAAAACTTTCTTCGTTTAAGGGTGAAAAAAAGTGGAGTCAAGCGAATAAGATTTTTAAAGTGGAAAGATAAATGAAGTCAATGGTTAATAAAGTCTTGAGGTATATATATGTATAAATATAAGTAATTGAGTTAAAAGTATTGCACCGAAAAAGGAGTCAATATTTACAACTTACTTAATTTTTGAAATAAGAATTCTATAAATGGAATCTGCAGAGAGATATGTCCAAAACAGTGAAAAATTGTATCCGTTTGACTCCATTTTTTTCACCGAATTCTTTTTCGCCGAATTTTTTTAGAATCTTTTAATGTTTCTCATGTTGGTAAAAATGAAAAAATGCAGTACTAAAAAGTTGATGAAAAATTCTGAAAAAATTCGTAGAATTCTATGAGACGAAAATAAACAATTTTTGTCTTTTGCAGTTTTTCCGTAAAGTTGATCGTATTTGAGTAAAAAATTATTGAAAATAATTCCCATATATAAGTTTATGTTGTATACACATAGATGCAGATTATTATATTTTACACGTAAACACACAATCCTGATTGATGATCATGAAAATTTATTCATGGTCGATAACTTTTAAATATGGGGTCTATTTCTTGTTTTATGTGCACTGGACCGCATTATATATTTCTCGCGATCATTTTTGCCAAACTTTAAACATATAATATCTATTTCATTTTAAATATAAGAAATTTAAACTAGTTCGATTACCACAAAGAATATAGGTCTAGGATCTTTTGTCGGTGTCAAAACTGATGGTCAAAAGTTTTTTGTATCGATCGACTAATCGGGGCGCTAGATGGCACTTGGCGCGACATCTGACGGCGACACTATGCAAATCGTCGGGTCGGCGAATAAATCAGGAAATTCCGTATATCTGATGCAAGCTTCGGTCGACAGGTGCAATACATTGCGTGTCGCACGATCGAGTTGCTCGACCCTCGCGTAAAAGCAGCCAAGTGTAATCACGTCGATTGCGCCACATCGCATGATTCTGCGAGACAGTGCGGGAACACGAACATTAGTAGGTATCTCAATTATTAATTATTAATTGTTAATGCAAATCACGCTTCCTTCTTTTCAACATATGGAGTGTTATTGCGAAAGGATCTGCCGATCTTATATTCCGGTTCACGATCGTCATACGATCGGCAATCTCACGCCTACGTCGCGCGGCGCGATGCGATGCCATATTTGGAACGATCGGAAGCTTTGAAACAAAGTCGCAATTCGCGATAACATATTTAAGACGGGCTCTTGTGTCGAAGTGTGCTATATAAATTTCCGAAATACAGAACGTGCAAGAGAGAGAGAGAGAGAGAGAGAGAGAGAGAGAGAAGAGAGATACAAGCGTAATCGGGCGTAAGAGTTCACCGTGACGGGGAAATTTCGGTTCGAATTTGGCGGCCGCGCGAAGCGCGCGCGGCGCCGACCAATCGCGGAGGGGCGCGCGTTCGCGCCGTCGCGTCGTTGCGGCGGGTTTGCGGGTCGGACTTTAGCATCGGACCGATCGGACGTTGCGGCAACGACGAACGAATTCGATTGGATGGCGTGGCCCATGAAGGCCACATCCGGCCAGCGGAGCTGCAGTATTGGTCGATCGCGCGCGACGGCATCACGGTGATGGTGGCGAACGAAGTTGGTCGAATCTTCTATATATATTATTGATAAATAGCTCGCGTCGCGTTGCCGAGCATTGCCGAGTGCGACTTTCCGTAAAGCGTAAAGCGGCTCCGAGGAAAAGTGCCGACGGAACGTGCGCGTCTATATTGGCTGATCGCGCGTGGTTTTAACGGCCATCACCTCGCCGCCGTGTGCGAGGCGTTTCACGCGACGGTGTCTCGTGCGTGCGTGCGTGCGTGCCTCGGGCGTGCTTCTTTTGCGCGTGGAAGAAAGGAAACGGTGGCAGTCCGCCGCGCCGCGGATGGCTGATGTGTAGCACATACGACGTACCGTGACGACAGTTACGTGAGAAGAGAGCGAGGGAGAGAGAGGGATACGGGGACGTGGGGAGAGAGAGAGAGAGCGAGAGCGAGGAGAGAACGCGCGCGCGTCGCCTCGCAAACGGAGATCGGTGGTGGACGAGAGCAGCCGAGCGCGAACGACGGGATTATCGTGTGCGTTTCTGGGTGTGACGGACGTGGTCGTAGTCCGAGATCGGTGCGTGGCTCGTACCGGTGACATCGTGCACGAGGTGGTGTTGTGCGCGAGAGTGGCCCCCTAGGGCCGAAGCCCAGGCAGCGTTCCCTCGCTAAAGCCTGCGGCGCTATCCCACGAGAGCATGCCGAGCCCGGCCACGAAGAGGTGAGAGCGAGCGAGATAGAGTTAGGGAGGGAGCGGGACGAGAGAGTGAGCGAGAGAGATCGCGCGCGCGCGCGCGAGGGTAGCGTAAGAGAAAGAAAGAGTGTGAGAGTCGAGTGTGAGGGGCAGAGAGGGAGAGGAATGAGCGAGCGAGCGAATGAACGAGCAAGAAAGGAAGGAGAGCGTGCGTTGTAACCCGTGAATCCGAGGGAAGCGACTACCTTCGAGGCCTGTTTTTTGCTCCGCCATTGTACATTGCGAGACGACCGATCGTCTCGGTGGCGGCACCACGAAGGAAGCCGCTCGTTTTTACACGAACAACGCGCGGGCGTGTTCCTGTTCGTGGCGTCTTCATCGTTCGAAGCGTCGACGAGGAGAGGAGGTGAAGAGGAGAAGGAGGTGGTAGATGAGGAGGTGGAGGATATCGGTCGTCGTCGCGGCCCCTGGTCATATCGCCTGCGTGTTCGCGCGTGTTTGTTCGGGTCGGGTGTACTGCTCCTCGACGCGACGACGGCGTAAAACGCGCTCGATACTCTCCTCGTCGCGTGAACGGAACGCGGGAGCGCGCGGCAGGGTGCGGCGGGGAGTTCGAGGTAATAGTGGCCGATTCCGGATTGAGCAGAGTGGCGCGTCCTTTCGCGGTGAGATCCCACGTTCTCTGGTTCTCTCGCGCGCGACGGCACCGAGAAAGATCCGCGAGAGTATCTCACTGCTGCTACGAGACTGCATGTTCTTCCGGTTCTTCGTCGAGCGCTTTCGTTCTCGTCGAATGGAGCCGGTCCGGAGATTTTTCGATCTCTCGTGACTGCCGTTTGTCAGTGTGCAGATAGATGACTAGAGCGATGTAAGCCGGCTCCCGACGACCGCGTGTTTAAAGCGGAGCATCTTGCGGAACGTGCTGTACGTTCGCTCCGCACGTTTGAAAAAAAAATGTGCGGCGCGACGCGGCACGTTATGCAATAGACGCCGCGCGCGCGGCGTGCGGTCGACGACGACGGCGGCGGCGGCGACGATGATGACGATGACGAGGAACAGAAGGAGGAGGAGGAGGAGAAGGAAGCAGCAGCGGCGGCTCTCGTTCTCTCGCGGCTCTTCGTTCGCAGTCCGTTCTTTCTCATTAATCCGCCGCGAGTGTATCACGTGGTAATGCGTCAGACCGTGTGTCGCTGCTTTAATTTACCTGCCTGCGCATTGGTATGCGTGCGTGCGTGCGTGCGTATGCCGACGGTGTGATGATGAAATTACGACACGGCGCGCCGGAAGGCGCGTGTCGCCCCGTGAGCAAAGAAGGAAATTCGCAACCCTCGGGAACGCCCAGTTCGACTCCCTTTCCCTCAACTTCCTTTCCCCGCTCCTCTGGCCTCCTCCCTTCCTCCTGCTTTCGCCCGTCCTGTCGGCGCTCCCGGTCGAAGTCTCCC